CAATAAAACTGAGTTCTAGCAATTGTCAGTTAGACCCTATAAGTATTCAAAGCCCAATCACTAAAGATGGAAAAACGAGGTTTTGAAAAACAACAAAAATGCCAACAACAAGCGCATACTCTCTTGCAAAGTACTCTGCAAATGGCCCCTCACACCTCGACTCATCTGAAAAGGAGATGCAGAAGTTGGTGCATCACCACCACCCATATGAGAAGTCATTTCCAGGACACAACGAAGCAATATGCACTGACCTGCACTCTGCATTGATGCAGTTTCCGTATAAGTTTATTTGTGAGCTGAACTTGAGCAGAGAATGCCAGCTGTGCCATATTGTAAAGTGGATTTGTCATGTGGATTTATCCATACTTTGTCCATTAAGTCACCCTTGGGAATGAGCACTAGTTAGAACTCTCTGATAGATGTGAAGGGTTTTTATACAGACAGGGGAAAAAAAAAGGAATGCAGTGATTCCAAGAGACTGAAGGAAAAAAAGAGAGGTATTATTAGCACATCGAAAGGCATCTGAAATATAAATTATTTGAAAGCACATCACTTTATATATCCTGTTAATTACATGGTTAATATTATGGAATCTGACAACTCCCCATAGACACCAGGACTATTGATGAGTTCCACTTTATGTTAGAAATTTCTCTCTTCTTGTGCAGAATTACCTCTTTAACCTCTTTCAGTCCAATAAATTCACATTAAAATGTGACCAGGAGTGACAACCTTGGGAGAGGACTAACCTCTCCCTCTATCATGTCATTTTAGCCTCAGTCTCAAATTGGTACAGCACTCCCATAGCTATTAGCTCAGCTTTTCTCCTGGCTTCTGAGTAGATGAAGCAGTATGTCTAATTAATTTACATTCCTTAAGTACAAAGGTAGCTATCAGCAAAACTACATTAAAATCAAACTACCAATAAGGTAATTGTAAAATCATAATTTTCTGGGATGTTTTCACTAAATACCATCTTAGCTTTGCAGCTGAATGTTTTCCAAAGTCTAGCCTTACAGCTACGTGAAAGTCAAATATTTCATACATTACAGTGTATCTCGCTCCACAGAAAAAAAAAAGGACAGATACTCTTTAATACAATGAAATGCAATTTAAAGCCAAGTCAATAAGATACGAACCTCTTATCCTCAAATGAGGGTTACGTTATACATCATGGGTTAGAAGTTAAAAATGAAGAGAATGGTTCTTGCCACTCATAATTCAAAGACTGTTGTCAAAAGCTTTCTGTTCATAGAAATGCTATTGGTTTTATTCAGCTGGCAAAAACTGTGCAGTATTCTAAGTAGCTCAGACAGATAGCTTTTTTAGCTCCACAGTTCAGAGCCAAATTTTCCTGAACAGCATAAGGACTTGATTTTGCTAATGTATACATGTTGCACCGTACCCGGTTCCAGAAATAACCGGCGTCCATGAATGCAGGCTGGGGTCTAGGGAGGATACATGCGAACAGCCAGATTCCCTATTTTGCCGTGTACTCAGAGAGACCAGACACATCCAGCTAAAAAAGGTTGCCGCACGAAGAAGCCCTCTGACAGCACAAAGCTCCAGGAGGAAGCTCTGCAGCTGCCCAGCTCCCTACCTGCTTCTCGCTGAGGAGAAAATACCGAATACTGGGGGTGGGAGGCGAGGGGCACACTGCAGCACGTCAGCAACGGGCGAGATTCTCCACCGAGCTCCAGCCACCCGCCCCTGTGAAACTCTCATTTTTGCTGGGACCAAATAGCTGAGGGACACGAGGGGCGACTAGCCTTCGGCAGGCAGCCATCCTCTCCTCCCGCCCGCCAGCCTGAGGAGAGCAGGGATGAGGTGTAAAAGCTGAAGCCCCCCTCGCTCCCACGTTTTCTCTGTTTGTCAGACGGGTGACACTTGCCAGCATCCTGAAGGGTGTGGGGAGCCTCTTTTCTTTCTCCTGCCCCTGAATAAACCCCTTTCTGTAACCGTGCCGTTCCTGCATGGTCAGTGGCAGCAGGAGAGGAGCTGAGCTCGTTTGCTGTGAGGAGCTGTCAGCATCTCCCTTGAGGGCAGGTTGCCAGCCTCTCCGAGGCAGTTACGCGGTGGCCTGGCCTTAAGCAACCCTCATTTCCCACTGTCGCCTTCCCACTCTCCGCCACACGCAGGGAATCCTGCACACCGCATCCTCCATTTCCCCTGTGGCCACAGCTGATCACCACAGCATAGTCCTAGGCTTGGTCCTAGCCCTTCACGGTCGACGGAGCTTACGTAAAAGACTGACGGGGGGAGCAGAAAGGTGGACCAGCTAGAGACTTTGCTGTGACAGCCCAGAGGTGGTTGCAGAGGAACAGATGAAGCCTTAGGTGTGAAATCTCATACTGTTTGCTCGGTGCTGTTTAGTGTGAGTGGCCCCGAGGAAAGAGCGACAGCAGCAGGAACAGCTAGAGATGTTCCTGCCGACGGGAACAGAACAGGATGCTTATTTGTCCCCGTCTTCTTTCTGGAAGGAAATCATCTGCTACTGCTAACACCAAAATCTGTGCATCACGCTCATGTCTGCACCAGGTCGAGGAGTACGACAGAAGTTGCCAATTACAGATAAAGGCTATCTTCAAAATTTGGATAGAAGCCGCTAATTTTGACTGCTCTACTATATAGCGGCACTTCTCATTCTTACGTGAAATGCCTAGAATTTGGTATGGGCATTACATTAGCTATATTTTAAACCTATACAAGCAAATTCAGTTAAATAACAGCACATATGTGTGTAATTTTCCACATACCAATGCCAGCACCCTGCAGACTGTACAGCAGGCTACTCAGTTTACATCCTCATGTATTTTGCTTGCTCACATATAGGCAAGCCCACAGTTACTGATATACTTTTAGAAATCTGACCTGCTGTCTACTGGGAATTATTACACGTCTCACCAGAAAATGCTGAATAGAGGATAGTTCCTGCATGAGAGCATGAGGACATGCATGCCTTTACCCTTATGCGCTGCACATGCCTTTTCCCCAGGCACATACCTGGCAGGTGCAATCCAGACCTTCATTTGTCACTCAGACCCCAGTAATGGGCTCTCCAGAAATACTCTAAATAGATTAGATTAGATGAGAATTATCTTCTGTCTTTTTAGACCATCTTGGCATTAACAACAAAACTGGGTATATTTTCCATGCAAACATGCTTTCTCTGAAAAACTAAAAGATAGGACAAATGTTCCTGTCTCCTCTGAAATAACATTTACCACTCCTCGCTAGCAAGAAGCAGCTGGCTTCAGTTAATCTGGTGGGATAACATTAAACTTAATAAATGTAATGACATTAAGATCTAAACCTTCTCTTAAAAGACTTCGGTACAGGGACAAGCTGCACAGCTGGGTGCAGAGTTAGGCACCCAGCTCCCAAAATGGATCTCACAGTGCTGTGTTGGGTGCCAAAGCTCCCCGTACCGAGGATGGGGAGAAGCCGGCACCCAACAACCAGCTTCACCATACCCAGAGGTTACGCTGGGAGCCAAACCCTATGCCTGCCAAAGGAAAATGTCAGAGAACTTATGGTTTTGCTGTGATTAGACTCCACCATGAAAGCAGAACTCAGGAAAGCCTGAGTCCCATCCATGTGTCCTCTTGGGCACTTAGGTCAGACAACAGGAGCACACCTTTGAAAAGAAAACCAAAGGACACAGCCAAGCATACTGTTTCGATAACATCCTAGTGGTTAAAACACCCACATAAGAAAATGGGAAGTCCAGATCCAAGTATATCCCCAGCATGGGGTTCACATCCATAGATTCAGTCTTAAGGAACATGCACTACTTATTAGGCCAAAGGCTTTTTTGGGTGACAAGCCCTTCACCACTCTTCCTGGAGCTTGACCCCAGCACGGATCTGGGAATGGAGGGATCATGGGACTAGGAGGAAAGTGGCTGAAACACTCAGCTGGAAAAGGGGGAGTCCTGAGTTTCAGCCCTCACCTCCCTGGGTGCCGTCATCCCAAAGCTGTATAATGCGTGACGAGAAAGGAGTACAGACACTGTGTGGCCACAGCATATCTTGGACTTCTCCACGCCCTTATGTACTAGGCTATCGAGTCTGCTAATCCCCAAATTGCCTCTAGACATATGCACTAGCAAAGCTGGAGATAATGTCGAAGTGTGCTTCTGCCACAAAACAAGGGCATCTTGGGTGCCTAGCTGGGTTGTGTGGGGTTTCTGGATTGTGGGTTTTGCTATGTTAATTCTGCCTCAACTGTGCACATAAACCATTATGTTGCACCTTGCTTAAGAGCTGTAAAGACTGAAGTATCTGCTTTGGTGGCACACAACCAGCTAAATTAATCTCCTGGCATAAACTTGCACTGCCTGGTTCAACGAACAAAATCAAATCCAGTCTCCAAGTAACTCAGAGGAATTTCTGGCTGATGTGGCAATCATTAGGCATATTAAACGACAGATATAATGCAAGTGATTTTTAGTGGTTCGGATAGATAGGCAGCTAGTACATTAGTATCGCATTCAGCTTCCATTCTAGGTATGTCTCCAGCCTGCTAACAAGCATCCTTTGTGGATTACTTGCTGTACTTTGACCTTCCAGAGCTGCTTGCTTTTTCTTTACACTGGAGACCTAAGATTCTTCTGTGCTCCCTTAGTCTGTACTCCCCATAAGCAATAAAACTATGTCTCTTGCCTTAACTGACTGACTTTCTCAGTAACCACACACCTTAGATTACAGACTTCAGGTTTAGATGCATCACTGTATGAAGTACCGTACAATGAGCAATCTACTGACTTTCTGTGGTGCTTAGAAAATACAGTCTTACAGATAAGTCTGGTTCCACCCCTCTCCTTTTAAGCTTGTCAGGTGCCCGTGCCCACAAAAAAAGGTTCACCTGGCCCACATCCTCCAGGAAGCTTTGGGCATGTGTACACAGCACAGCGGGGCAGAGACCCCCGGGCTAACAAAGACTGAAGCACCAAGCAGCCCAGTAGGCTTTCATCGAGGAGAAGCATAGCTGTTACTCACATCATGCTCAGCCCAAAACGGATAGTCTTGCCTCCTGAAAGAAACATGGGACAAAGCTGATGAACACAGATATTGTTCCCTACGAACACAGCTGAACTGCTTACAGACCTATGAACTGCTTACAGACCTACTGACGAGACGTTCAGTGCAACTGGTGCCAAATATCACAGAGCATCACTTGAGTAAATACAACCCCAATGTTAATAATAATAATAATATCATTTGTTTTTATCATCACCCAGTGTATTTTTGTAATGTCTTTCAATGCATCTGGCCCATATCAACTCTATGGTAATTAAGCATTGTCAGTAAAATTATGTAAAATTAATTTTGACACCCTTTCTCTGAAGTGTCTGTTCTGTTCTGTGTCCTTGGAATGAAATATTTTGATGCCAACGATTTCCTTCAGAGAAAATAGCTCTCCAAGCTCCTGTTGCTACCCCTCTAGCTGCCATACTGCCAAATGTGTCATATCCAGGCTCTACCTCATCTTCTATTTCTGCTTAACGAGTCCACAGTTATTTTCAAAGATCCTTTTCTATGTCTTGCCATTATTAAGAGTAGGTCAGTTTTTGGTCACTTGAGTAAAAATATAACTGATGCTAATTTTCTGGTGTTAAAGCCATGTATCACACACTAAGAGAAGCATCAGGTGTGCTCTACCTATCAGGAAAAGACTGATATCACGTGTACTAAAGACTTGACCCGAACATGTCCCATATTTGGTTGCATTACTTTTGCTTGATTGCTGAGAGCTGAATCTTTGCAAGTAGATCATATTCATGAATGTGTCACGCCTCACTATGTCATTTCGCCAGAAACTCATTAAAGATCTACTCAAAGCTTCCTTCCTAATTTATATTTCTTCTATGAGTTGCTTTGATTTGAGAAATCTCTTTTGCAAAAGGAAAGCCGTCCATTGTTTGGACTCTAAAAGGAAATGTAGGTGTTTAATTGGTGGATGTGGTTTTCATTATACTTTCCATCTCCACCACAAACCCTCTTCGTAAATTGTGACAAGTCTGTTGGCAGCCTGCTGTATCAGACTGGAGGTAGCTGACTTGATAAGCATGTCGCCCAGCCGAAGAAAAACATGAATTCCCTCCAACTTTGCTCAGAATTGCTAATTACCTTAAAGGCAGTGTCCTGAATTGGCACAGAAAACCACTGTGTGAAAGTCCTAGGGAGATGCGCAACTGTAACTCAGTAGGGTCTAGTAATACCTCAAACACTTTCTTTATTGAAATCATGCTAGCATCTTTGCTCTAAATATACTCCTTATTTAAACGCAAGTGCAGTGATTTACAGTCCAGTAAAGTCCCCAGCTTCATTTCTATGCAGCCCATATCATGATGGTAAAGAAGGCTCATTTGCCAGAGAAAGTAAAGAGGGAAATGTTTTCATTTTTATAAAATCAGTCACCCAGCCTTACAGGGCTGAGGTCCTTTTCCTCTCAGATGAATGCAGAGGTGGGGGTAAAGGAAGCACTGATCTGGTCAGTGCTGTGATTCTCTGCTGCCATTTCTCAATGGGGCTTTTTCCTGCTCCCACTCAGTCCAAAAAAAAACCCCCAAACCCTTGGCCCTACACTTAGCGTTTCCAATAGCCAAGTGGCAAGGAAGCATTTCCAGTAGGCAATTAACATGTAGCCACCCCGTCTTCCACCACATGGAGATATTTTGTGTCAAGCCAGTTGGCCTACAGGGCAGAGAGCAGCCCTTGGTCCATTTTAGTATCTCCACTCTGGCCAGTAGTTCACCGCTTTTGAACATCCTCAGACGTAGGAGGAGAATACGCAATCACTGCACTGGACTATCAGGAGCTAATCTCTCCCCAGCTGAGACACCCTGACCCCCATCGCCCTCAGGAAGGTCCTCACGCATTCAGAGCTCTTAAGCTAAAGCTGTCCTACAAAAGTAAACCTTTTGGTGCAAACTGAGAGGGTACTCAGGACGCCGATGCCCTGAAGTGATAAGAGCATTCACCTGACACACACAAAACCTTTGTGCAAAGAAACTGGAGAATAGATTTAAACTTGCAAGGATTTGAGGTAGAACTTACAAAAAATGCCTGTTGACAGAAAGAGCATCTTTATGGGTGCAGCGTTGATTATATTTTCAAGGTGGTATCCTGGCTTGAATTAGTATGGGCACACTGAAAAGTAATGTTCAAGCTTTAATCTCCCATACATCCCACTCTCCCTGGACATGCTCTGGAAATGCTGACATGAGAAAGGGAAGTCGGCAGCTTTGCCAGGACTCCCAGGCAAGCCAGTCACAGTGGAAGCCTGACATCCAGAAGACCTGGAAAACGGCCAGTTTCTGCACAGCATGTCCATCCTGTATGCCTGCATTCAGGTGCATCAGATTTATTATGCATGTGCAGATGACCTGATTTATTGCCATGGTTTATTACCAGGTGCAGCAAGGCCAGCAGCATGTTCAGAACATGTTGGATTTACTGCACGTACATGGGACATCTGTGAGCACACACAATCACCTTTTCTCCTGAGACTTCCTAGGAGGAAATACGGGAACCATACTCAAACTTCTGGATTCACTTTGGTTCTGTACTTGTCTGCAGGCAGAGACAGACTTCTGGGGTAAAGTAAACACAGCTACTTTAGCATAGTCTTAGCGTGTATTGTGAGAAAACTTGTTTGTACTTTTCAATCCTCCAGAGGGAACTGTGAGCGGGTAAGGGCGAACTAGCAGCATTTCAATAGAGCTAGCCTGTTTCTCTACCACGCAGCAGATACATTAGCACCTAATGAGTTATGATGACTTCAGCTTTAACAGATGACTTTTCTTCCGCCAACCAAATTACAGTATAAGCACCACTGAAATTTTATTAGCTGGTTTTGCATGTGAATATGAGTTGAGGAAAGGAAAACACTTGAGTTACATATTTGTTCAAAAAATCAGAATTCCATTTTCTTTAAGGCTTTCAATGAGAGGTACATTTCCAAGTCATTTCTGAAAGTGGGAATTAGGGTATATTTGACTGGCATCCAGGTGTGGGCTCCAAGACTCGCTCTGATCCAAAGCAGCAGTACTGGAGTAGTACAGTAGTACATTAAATAGATGTATTTAATTAGTTCCCATTTGTGTCACACGTATTCTGATGAGGTGCTGGAGTGCCTTGAAGAATACCCGATAGTTATCAGCATTTCAGTGTGCTGAGGAGTCTCTCTCCTTGCCCGTTGTGGAAGGGCTCCCAGGCAAGAAAGAGTTTACCTGCATCGCCAGGCACGGCCCCAGGGAGTGCTCCCACACCCCCAAGACACTTCTTCAGGTACCATCCCTCCTGATCCTACCCAGAGCAGGGGGCTTGCTTCATTCACCCAGCCCATGGCTTTCTGCCCCCAGAACAAGGTCTCCTGCATCCACTGCACCAGTGCCTGGTTTCCCTGCCGTTCCTGCAGCTGAAGCTGTTACCTTCATCCGGACTCTGTAGCAGTTGTTTTAGGTAATTCTGCAGGTTCCAGTATCATGTGCATGGAGGTGGCATTTCTTTGTGTCAGGTCGTGGAGATTGCTCAAGTACACTCGATGCCTTTGATCTCGTATGACCTCAGGCTCCAACCCTCCCACAAATAATGTCCTGGCACTGAGATACACCAGCCTATACCAGGGAACCTGCAGAACTTTAACAAATTGGGATTATGGTAGCTCCAAACTACAGTGCGTTACTGACTGAGACTTAGCTTACCCATCTACTGAGATCTTTGGGCAAGGACATTTTTCTGCTGCTACACATACCTCAGTTTGCACAATCGGACTTCATAGATGAGAGCCAGCTCCAGCTCAGATGCCACAGCAAACAGCATTTCCCAGGCAGGATGCTTTGACTATTAGCCCCTTTTCTTTACAGCTCTTCACTGGTTCCCACTTTGCTCACCATGGAGGCCCTTTGTGGCCTATCCCCATCATTATGAAAAGTCATTACGAAAAGTTATTACGAAAAGGCTGACTCTAGTCTTCTCTTGACCCATTAGGGCAATTCACTCTCCAAGTTTCCAACTAACACCTTCAGGGTATCCCCGTGCTGTCACGCATGCTTGGGAGGAGTCCTCATAAACATGCACAGAATCACTCCATTGTTCTTTTTGAGGTTCTTGAAAAGAAAGTTCTGGTTTTTCCCATCATGCTCCTACTTATGCGTTTGGCAGCACTGTCAGGCTGGCCGTTTGCTGCGACCACTATTTGCATGATTAAAATACTCTGTTTTTTCTTTCCAACTAGATTTGCCTATATCCATCATTTTCTTTCGTCTTTCACTTTGTCTGCAAAGTTTTTGGTCCCACGACTGACGCTCCGTCCCACGTCTGAACCGCACCTAGTGCAGCAAACCTGGGTCCCTCCCTACAGATGCAAAGTCCACTGGTGATGCACCTGAATAACAACAGCAACAGGCAGAAGGGTAAAGTAACATAGCTGCCACCCTCTCCTGGAGTCGGTGCAGAGCACTAGCCATTCCAGTCCATCAGTGAAATACAGTTATGATGGGAACATGAGGAGTTTGACTATTGTTTCTATTGGGCTAAAGAGAGCTGGGACGTTTTGTCTTCTGGGAAACCTTCATTGTAGTTTAATTTCAAATCATCCATGCTCCAGAATTAACTGAAACTTTCATTACTTGACTATTTTCCGTCTTCTTTTTAACCCATATGATAATTTATTCCTTTTTTTTTTAGCTATAGGTTACTTTGCTGTGTGAGAGTATGTCACAGAACTCATTTTTCTAGTTACTTTGACAAACCTGACATCTTGCAGCTATTACACATCTTGTTTCAATTACATCTCTAGATAAAAAGAATTCTTAAAGCCTGAAGGCTGCAGATGGCTTCCTGGTGAGGGGTTAACTCCAACTTCGTATTAAAGCCTTTTGGGGGTCCCTTTTCTTGGGCTGTTCTCTTCAGTCTCCTTCTCTTATACGCTTCTAATTTTGCTGTCTCACTCACTGGAGCACCAGTGTCCATCCCTGCCTCCTTCCCACCAAAAGGTGCCTGGGGGGAAGCAAAGTATCTGTCGCTTGAACCTTATCTCCACATATCATGCGGGCTGCTTACAGCAGGGCTCAGCTGAATGAGCACAAATCAGTGGAGTGACAACTCGGACCACCACTAATCCCTAATAAATTCTGGACTGTCCCACAGACTTGGGAAGCTCTTGACAACTGGTGATGCTCTGAGCATCTGGCAAACCACTTGTGTCTAATTGGGTACCCTGAGATATTTACGCTGTGCTTAACGGTTACAGAAGAGATTGATCACCCCATTCTTGGTATCTATCCAAAAAGGGTATATAAAATCCTTTGATCTTGCTAAGGCAGCAAAACATGTCTAACCATCAGTTATGTAAAGGTGGTTGTTATTAATTTGAATACTGCACAGAGAGGAAAGAACAGAAGTACCATATAATGAGATATATTAAGACTACAAAAGAATTAAGTGAAGCCGTTATGTTATGAATCATGATTTTATTGTTTAGCAGTCAGCTCTTGATGTAATTCAGATAATAATGAATGGGCTAATTCCTTCCACCTTTATTCAGGCAAAACTTCCATTGACTTCAAAGAGAAGGTTGTCCAAGTCAGGACTAGAGACTGCTGCATCTATCCCATTATTTGCAAATGCTTTTCTGAATATAAAGCGTTCCTTTATAATGGGTATCACAAATAACAGTAACATTTACATAATATAAACCTCTTACATAAGTGTCTTTCGTGTTCAAGAAAGACTTTTTATTCTCATTGCAAACTGCCACATTAAAAGTTCTTCCACTAACCCTAATATTTATTATAGTATAGGAACATACAGATTTTCTCAGTGTCCCATTTTGATCATCCTTCCTTCTGCTCAATATTTTTCATTTCATTTTACCATAAATTTTTTTCTCTGGAGAATGTGTGTTATTTATTGATTATTAGCAAAGAGATAATTTATCATTGCAAATATTTCTCTTTATCATAGAAAACAGAGTGCCAAAAATGGGAAAATGTGCTAAGCCTTGTTACATTTTAACAGATGCCAGGAGTATTTGAGGAAACAAATGAATAAATAGTCCTACAT